AACGGCATAGGACTGACAGGTCATTCCTTCCTTCATTCATTCCACCTCAATAGAGCAACGACACGATATTCCAAAGTGGGGGTCACAGGTGAAAATTTTGTGAAATGGGGAAGGGGAATGGCATGGGACTTGGGGGCCAATGGGTAGGACAAGGGGCCAGCAGAAGCTAATAAGGTGGGAAGCTTGGCCGGCACAAAGGCTGAGAACCACTTTCCCAGAACACTCAAGTCTGTGATGTGCAAATAAACCATCCAAGCAACCATCCCACAGTTCCTTTCCTGCAAAATCGATTCACTAAGTTGTAATCCCTTCTTCTGAAAGCCATATCCACAAATAGTGAACCAATGCAGAACTGGGAAGGTGTTCTAGATGAGGGTTTGGAAATATAAGGAGTAGAGAGAAGGGAAAGGAACGCAGGGCTGATGGAGGGCTGTGCGATGCCTGCCTGACCGAGGTTTTGGTAAGTGCATCCTTTATGAGCTGGTGAGGCTGGGACTCCCTTGGCTGTCATTTGTGTCTGGAGTTCCAGCAGGCTGGAGGGGAGTCTGGTCTTCCTGAAATACCAAGGCCAGTCCCTTTCCATTATCTGGATACCTATCATGGGCAGCTGAGCCTGGGCACTCTAATAGGCCTGATTAAGATCTCTTCCAACTGTATAGCAGCCAGAGGCTTTAACCTCTTCTTTCCCTCTTTCCTTCCCCACCTTCCTTCCCACCTTCCTTCTCTCCTTCACTCCTTCCTTCTCTCCTTCCTTCCTCCCTCTTTTCCTCCCTCCTTCCCTCCCCATCATAGTTGGGTTTCTCCCACCTATGCCACAGGCATTTTTCATTCATTTCTGCTTCTGTACTTAAATCTGCTTCACAAGGACCTGAACTGATGTTGCAGAAAAAGTCAGGGGCACCCAGTGGAGCTTTTGGGGAGGTTAACTCTTACAGTTCTAGTGACTAAGATCTGATTAAGCGAATGATTCCCCAGTTTGCAGAAGACTCTCTTAGAGGCATCTCCCCTTTAGGGGTTCTCAGAGGATGGATTCCTTTCTCTGCTCAGGGGGCATCATTTCAAGCAGAAGCTCATCTCTGATTCTCCTGATCCTTTCTTGTGTAAAGGGAATTTCAGAATCAAAGGAGGATGGAGGGGACATGAACAAAACATCTCAGAAACACTATCATAAGTGGGTCTGAGCAGCCCTTTGGCTTAGCAAGAACAAGCACCATGCTCAGAGCCTGTTGAAAACACTTGTCGACTAGGGCAAAGGGCATTAAGAGTCTGTGCTGAGGGGCTGGTGAGGGGTCACACACCTGCTGTGTGTCCCAGGTTTGCATGGGACCATGAGTCTTGCAGAAGGTAGTGATGATCAAGGCAGAAAAGAGAGGACACTGAAAACCGCCACCAGCCTGCGGTCCTAAAACGTGTCCACTAGAGTACATAAAACATATCCCTCAAAGGTCCCACAAGTATCGTCCGGCACCTGTGATGACAGCAGCTATAAACTCCAATCCCCTGGGATGGACAAGGCTAGTTCTGCCTCAGTAACCACACACCCTATGAGAAATGGCTGGCAGTAATGGTGGCATCACTGCTCTGCTAATCACGGCAGAGATGTTTCTGACAATCAACAGCAATTAGGTGCTTCACAAAACTGTGCTTGGTGCTCCCACTGCTGAATAGCTTGTTCTGGGCTGGGGATCACAGAGATCCCCATGATCGATCCTAATGACGCCTGTACTGTTTTTCTTCCTGCAATCACTCCTTCCAGCAGAAAAGTGATTGTTGTCCTGTCTGAAGGAAGGGGAAGCCACTCTGATTTGAAAACCCACATGAGAGGGGTGGGTCTCATGATCCTTCCAGTGTGCCCTGGCACCGTCGGGGTTCAAGGGCAAGAGAGGGGAATGGGGCAGAAAAGACAATCTCAGATGACTGCAGGGGGCGCCCAATTGCGCCAAACTCACAGGGACTAGTGCCCAGCCCTTGGGTCTGCCATGCTAAGTGCTCATTGCAAAGTAGATCGGCAACTGTGTGCTGTTAATAAAATAACCGTAATGATAGGAGAAGTCAATACCCACCAGGACCCAAATGTCACATGCATCCTGGGGGAAGGAGAATGCTGTGGCCTCAACTAAGAAAAACCTGGGCCAATGTGGGCCTGAGGCATGGCTCGGACCACTGCCGAGTTGGGTAGCCATGGGCAAGATATTTCGCAAAAACTTTGTTTTCTCATTTGGAACACAGGGAGGTTCCTGAACAGGTTTTGGTTTTTTGTTTATTTGCTTGCTTTTTATGGGGGGGGGGGGTCACACCTACAGTTTTCTGAGTTTATTCCTGACTCTGTGCTGGAGCGATAGCACAGCGGTAGGGCGTTTGCCTTGCGGGCAGCGAGCCGGCCCGGACAAACCGGGTTAGAGTCCTCCACCCCTCTCGGAGAGCCCGGCAAGCTGCCGAGAGGATCTCGCCCTCACAGCAAAGCCTGGCAAGCTACCTGTGACGTATTCAGTAAGCCAAACACAGTAACAACAAGTCTCATGATGGAGACGTTACTGGGCCTGCTCGAGCAAATTGATAACAACGGGAGGACAGTGCTAAAGTGGACAGTGCTACAGTGCTCAGAGACCACAGCTGTGCTCTGGGGATTATATGCCCTGCCAGGGAGCAAACTGGGTTCTGCCGTGAGTATGGCAAGCAAGTGAAGCAAGTGTCTTAATCCCTGTACTCTCCCTCTGGCCCTATCTTCCCATTTTACAGTTCAGAACACTGAGACAGAGTAGAGTTTAGAAACCTACACAGGATCACACAACCCACACCTGACAAAGCTCAGGCTCAGATCCAGGCAGTTGGATTTCCAAAGCCATGTTCTAACAACAGGACCTTCTTAGAAGAATAGCAAATTCAATTTGCCATATATGCCATAAAAGGTAGTATCTGCCACATATTTTATTTGTGTGGTTATTTGAGGCCATTTTAATGTATTAAAAACATTTTAGATTGTGCTATGAATGGCTAAAATTTTGATTTGAAATGCTTCCTAATTTAAAAAATTAAAGATTAATTCTCTCTTAAGTTTTAGCTCCTTAATGTCTCTCTCTCATTCTTTTTTTCTTCCTCCTTCCCTCCTTCCCTTTCACTCATCCTTTTTCTACTTTGCCCCATCTCTATCTCATTCTGCCTCTCTTCTCCTGGGCCTTCCCTCCTTCCCTATGTAGGATCTGAGAATGCTCCTTACTGGTTTTAGTTCCTTTTATCATGTATTCTTTAGTCTTCAATACAAATCTGTAAGTGGAATGCACACTGGCCTTCTCTTCATTCCAAAAATAATCCCCCTGAATTGCATTTCCATTGATTTCAGAGCTTTTGAATTGACGTCTGTTTTATGAGTTACTGGTTCTAAATTCAAAGCTTCCGGCCATTTAGGACTGGAAATGCTACCAGGTTATAACCTCAGAAAAAAAATGACACAGAAGAGCATACATCTACCAAGAGAGATCTACCCATCCCTTCACATGATCTTGATTTTTCCTTCCCTCTTCTATAGACACATATCCCAGAGACATATCCCACACCAGGGCTCCTCTGGGTCTGTGGCCCAGATGGAGCCATAAGAAGAGAGTCCTATGGCCAGGGCCTGTCTTCCATGCTATATGGAGGATGGACCCCTCCCAAGTCTGGAAAGAGTCAAAAAGAACATATACTAAGGTCCAGAATCTCTGGGTCTCACGGTCCTCCCGTTGTTCATCGATTTGCTCGAGTGGGCCCAGTAACTTCTCCATCATGAGACTTGTTGTTACTGTGTTTGGCATATTGAGTACGTCACGGGTAGCTTGCCAGGCTCTGCCATGCAGGCGAGATACTCTCGGTAACTTGCCGGGCTCTCCAAGAGGGGTGGAGGAATCGAACTCGGGTCGGCTATGTTGGCTGCATGCAAGGCAAACGCCTTACCACTGTGCTATCTCATCCCTAAATTTAATTTGTATAACATAAATGTGACTCTAATATAAACACCAGAAATAAAAGTATCTGTGTTTAAAAATCCCTGTCTGGGAACAGACACAGAAGATCTCACTAAATTTGCAGGATATAATGAAACATTGTAGAAGAATAATTCCCAAAGGCGATAGAAACAAAGGGCAGGAGAACTGGCTTAGAGGTTAGGAGAGAGAAGAGAACACTATGACAACGATAGGAGAAGTGGTCACTCTGGATGATAACTGGGTACTGAAAGGAGGTAAAGCATGATATTCTTTCAGTAACAGTATTGCAAACCACAGTGCCTGAAAGGAAAAGGGAAAAGGGAAAAAGTGCCTGGTAGGGAAACTGGCCATATTGATGGGAGTATCCCTGGCCAGGGGAGGGAGGACACTGGTGAAACAATTGGTGTTGGAACACTGAAACTAAATTATGAATAACTTTGTAACTTGGTAGTTCATGGTGACTCAATACTTTCTTAAAAATTAAGTTTAAAAATTCTAAAAGGACTGGAGTGATAGCACAGAGGGTAAGGCATTTGCCTTGCACATGGCCAATCTGGCTGACCAGGTTCAATTCCTCTGCCCCTCTTGGAGAGCCTGGCAAGTATCTCGCTTGCACGGCAAAGCCTGGCAAGCTCCCCGTGATGTATTCGATATGCCAAACACAGTAACAACAAGTCTTACAATGCAGATGTTACTGGGCCCGCTCGAGCAAATCAATGAACAACGGGAAGACAGGACTCAGTTCAAAAGTTTAAAAAAATCCCTCTGCCTGCTAACATTGTTTAATTCAATTGCTGTATGTGAGTGCTTCTCAGTGTAAAAGTAAAACAACAGGGAATGTATTTGCTGCTCCCCAACACCCCCTAGGGACAGGTTGTTCTAGCCCTTCCCTCATTAATACGGCCCACACTCTCTAGACTAAGAGTATCTCTTGGAGCCTTTGTAAGAATCCTAGTCCCTCTGCACCGGCGGGCAAGGCCATAACAAATCAGCACCTCGGACAGTTTCACAGTCTCCCTTGGGGGAAGCTGCAGGTACCTGTTGGTTTGTTCTGTAGGAAAGCTGGGGCTCCTCCTCACTGCTTTCTTCCTCCAATCCAGAGAACAATGCTTCTTCTCCCCCCTCCTCACTCTCTTCAGAACAGGAATCAAAGGCATCTGCGTAATACTCCTCTGCCACGAGGGGGTCTTCTGGGATCTCTGAAATAAAGAATCAGTGTCATGCTTCTCCAATCATGACAATCACGATGAGGGCAGGAACTCCCAGATTATCCTGGAGAGGCAGGCTTTGTTGGCGTGGATAAAGCCTCCAAGGGAGGACAGGGCCCCGACTTAGCTTTCTGCCTATGGGACATAATAAACAGCTAAAGGAAACCAGCTGCAAAAAGGAGAGGTGACAGTAGTTGCAAACATATTTTGAATGTGGAAGCGTGAGGCCATGAAACAAGAAGGAATGATCACTTTGTTAGTGTTGACATTTCGATGCTTGATCCTTAGTACAAATGAGACGGTGCAGGAGTAAAGCTAGATAAGACCCCCTGACCATAGAATGTGCTTGCAGTGTCCACAGAACATGTTTGGAGAGGCAGCCGGACTGGAACTCTGTCAGCATTCTTTTGGCAAATGTCCTCTTAAAGGCAAATACTGGTGGTGAGATGTGACAAGATAGACAGACACTAGAATAATGGGGTTTGGGCAGGTTTGGAAAAACATTACAATTCCTTTCTATTGTGCTAGGAAAGATTTGGAGGAGGCGTTCACTCTGGGGACCTATGTACTTACTTCTATACATGCTAATAAATGACTACAACAAATAGTTGGTACTTACAATGGTCTTCAACCAAGAAAGGCTGAGAAAGGAGCACACAAGAGCCATCATAGTGATCTGAATCGCAATTTACTAATGACAGCTGGAAACAGAGATATATCCTCGGGAAGAGGAAGAAGTTATATAAGGACACCTTGTACCACAGCAAAACTGTGGGTATCTTGAGCTTAGACCCATACTCTTGACTGCTTAAAATACAGAATTTCTTAAAAGTACACACAGCCTTTTTTCATTGCATTGTTGCTTTCTGTTTAGTGGGGAGAGTCTAAACCCCTTGTTTGAGTACCCTTGTTTGGGGATTTAGAGTCATAGACTCAAGGTTTGAGTTGAGCTCTTTCTCCTCTCAAATGAGAGCCTGGGCAAGAGACTTGTATTTAGAGGACCTTGTTTCTTTAGTAACACTGATAGAAGGAAATATAATAGCATAGACTACTACAAGACTCAATAGTATGATTCTAATGAAAAATCCACATTTGAGAAAACTTCATACCAATGTTAATGCAACTTCTACCACTATAAAAATTGCCTTTTCATTAACTGACACCAGAATAGTTTGAAAAGAAAATGCTGAATGGATGCAGAATTCCCTGACAACTGAGCACTTTTCAGACTTTGCTATCCTTGGTTTTCTACAGACATGCAATATGCAGTAGAGTGGAATCAAAACTCCCCAGTTCAGAGGACCAACATAACTAGCACAGCCAAAACTGCCTTTGCCAGTCCTGTGGGAAGAGGTGTCCTGGGGGTTTATACGTTCTCTTGTTGACTCCAACACAGTCTTTATATTTCTACCTGGGCATTGGGAAAAACAGACGATCTGAACATACGTTTAATAAAAATCCCTGTGTGATGTACATTCAGAATAACAAGAGGAACACAGAAAGAGGAGAACAGAATGCTGAAGCCAGTGGAAAGGAAGGTTCAGGTTTCCAGGCTGCCCTCAAATAGGGGTCCCTGGCATGAGGAGTTGTGGGCAGAATCAATTGATTTTCTCCCCTTTTCTCCCCACATCTCTGTATCTGTGTCAACAAACTGTCCAGTCTCTCCCCCTTACTTCCTCCTATTTCCATTCCTTTCCCCACTCTCTATAACAGTGATTCATAACTCATTCACTTACTCATCACACTTCTTGCTCTCCCTTCTTCTCTCCATCTCCCTGAACAGCATCTTCAGACAAGAATACCTGGATTCACACTTTACTAAGAAACAACTGGTTCCAAATAGACAGAAATGTATTAATGCAAATCTATATTGCAAATTCTTGTCATTGAAACAAAATTTCATGCATCAAAAGTTATCCATACTATATGAGACACATTGGCATTTTCCATTCTTTTCGATTTAAAAAAAATCTGGTTGCAATTCACTAACCTGATTTCTCAATCCACAGTATGAGAAGTTAAGTATGTTGGCTTTAGTATGCTGACTTAAGCATTAAAAAGGCCTGCATTTAAATCAAGGCTCTAATATCAGCTCCATAGCAAAAGGTATTACTGAAGCTTATATTTCAGTCTTCTCATATGTACAATTGGGGGTATGATATTTCACAGAATTGCTCTGAACATGAAATAATAGTTTATGCCTATGGCATATACCAAATTAGTTACTAACATTCAACATAATGTTAAATTTTTCTCCATAGTTCTATCATGCTCAAAGTCAGGAAGAAATAGAAATTTAGACAATCACAAATATATATATCAAGTTGGCATTATCAAAATCCATAAGGTCCCTAAGTCAAGTGGGCTACAAGGAATCACTCCTTTAGCCTTCCTTCCACTGGGCTGTGCAGGGAGCTGTGAACGTTTTACCCTTCTGACCTCCCGTTACCCTTCCTCTTCAGGGTTCCATTTGGATTCTCTCTAGCACAGGGGGTAATAATGAGTTTGTTTGGTCAAGGGCTAAGTAGTAATAAATGTAGGCTTCATAGGCTGCATACTTTCTTTCACAACCACCCAGTCTTTTATAAAAGAGAAACAAATATAAACAATGACTGTGGTCATGTGCCAATAAAACTTTATTGACAAGAATAAGCTGTGAGCCAGATCACAGCTTTACAATAGAGGTAAACCTTTTCAGTGTGAAATAGTAAATCCCTCTTCACATAATATGGTTCCCTAAACAATGAGTTTTGGTGTTTTCCCGCTCCTACCCAGGGCCCCGTCTTGGGAAGGAGAGGAAGGAAAATGTGATCAGAAAAGAAATGCCATCAGCCATGAAAGACTGAACCAGCCATCAGAATGGGAAGATTCCATCTTCAGTACTTTTTTTCCCCTTTTTTTCAGTAAACACCATGAATTTTATGCTGCTCAGAAGTGGGAAAAGTCAAAAGAAAAGCTAAGTGTTCCAGCCCAGGTCTGTCATCATTTCTGCACTCAGGCCCAATTGGCAACCTTGTTGGGCTTTAAAACTCCTGTCATTAAAGGAAAAATGGTCTGGGACAAATAGCTCTAATTTTCTCGCAGTGTAACAGATCTGCTGGGGTGGCATTCCAGGTTTCTACTACCCTGGCAAGGGCGAGCATGAAGGAAAGAATGTATGAGCAATTTATAAGGAATCCAACGTACTGCCTTGCTTGGATGAAGGGCTTTGAATCTATGCTGGGGCAAAAGAGAAGCACTCTGTTCAGGGGTGCTCTTTGTTGACAGAAGCATCACCTGAGACTCAGGCGAATCTCCTCCTATCACATGTGAGTAAGTGACAGAGCCAACCCAAGTTCAAATCTTGGCATCCTCACATGGTCCCTGGAGCCTGCCAAGAGTGATCCCTGAGTGAATAGCCAGGAGATATGGCCCTGAGTATCACTGGATATGGTCCAAGAAAACAAGCAAACAAATCACACACACACACACACACCAAAAAAATAAAAAAATCAGAGAGAGAAAGGGCAAGCCCAATACAGAGCTCCTGGATTCTACGTCTGTGCTGGGACCTGAAATAGGTCTAGTCTAACAAGTTTCCAGAGACAGCTACTCTCAGGACCTCTGCTCTTTAAATGAGACAAGGTCAGATAAAAGCACTAGCACACCTCTAGATAGTTCTAGAAGCACCCATAAAAAGTGCACATCTTTCAACCTCTGAATGCTACAGGCCCAATCGTGCAGCCCAGAGAGGCCCTCCCTCCTCATCCCCTCTCCTGCTATTCTGAAGGGGGCAGGAGATACTGGGCTGAACCTACAGGGGAGCAACACAATGCTTGAGCCTGCTGGCGCATCGCCATCAACTGTGCTGGAAAGTCACAGAGCAAATGGAGAATGATGGGGCTCAGAGGCATGGCACCAACACCCAGAATGTTTCACTTTCCTTAAAGAGCTACTGTAGACTGGGGGAGAGATGGGCCTCATTCCTTGTTCAATACCAGCATCTTAAATAAAAACACAGTCCTCTCTTATGCAGAGGAGGCCTGGGATTAATAAGGGATTAATAAACTGCAGCAGCTCAACACAACCAGGTAAAAGACCTGCTGGAGAAGACCCAGGGCTTCCTTGTTGTATGTGTGGGGGCATGGAGGGTGGGGCTCGGGGGGGTCAAAAATTAGGATCAGAGGAAAGGAACACCATAAAAGCTGTTACTGGGGATAATGTTTGCACATGCCTCATCTCACTCTCCAGAAGGAACGAGGTGGGAACTGAGAGAATCAGGGTCTGGGCCCGTCTGAGGTGCAGTATTGGCCTGTGTCCAGCTGGCCCATGTCTAGCATTGGCTATGCAACCTGGTGTCACTTCTATGCAGAGCTTTCTGTTATAAGTGGGTGCAGAGAACAGTGGCTGCTCCACCCCACACCCTTACACTAGACGTGCCCTAAACTGTGTGCATTGGCTGCAAGGAGGATCGGTCAGCTAGGGCCACCATATGAAAATGTCACCTTCTGGGTGGCTTAACCACAGAAAGTTAACCAACCCTCACCCAATCTGGAGGTGAAGATGGTTTGATTCCTTCTTGATTTGCCGGTCCCTGGGGGCCTGGGGACTCTCTGGGCATCTAATCTCTTCATAGAAGGGCATCAGTCAGATTGGATTGGCCTCCACTCACAGCCTCATTCTACACCAATCATCTCTTTAATGTCCCCACGGCCAAGGACCACCACACTCTGAGACTCTGGGAATCAGGACTTCCACGTGGGAACATTTAAGTTGTCACTGTTCAGCTCAATGACAGCTGCTAATGGTGACCAGATTTTCTCTGCTCCTGTGGCCAGAGACTTGCCCTCAGATCGTGAAATTTCTTTGCTGAGAAGGTTATGCCTCAGCCCCACCCAGGGGAGCCCAGACCAAAACTAAGAGAGACTCACTGGGCGGTGACGTCACTCGGACCCAGAGCCCCATCGATCAGAATGGGGCTGCCTCCAGCTGACATCCCAATCCTTTCTCAA